AAGTCCATTCCGAGGATAACGTCCCTCGAACAGTCTTGCAGAACGACGAACTTGACAGGGCACGTTTCACCGTGGATGTCGACGCGAGCAGTGCATCTCCCGACTGGTGTGATGAGATGTCCTCCGGCGGTTCGTATTTGGGGTCCTTCCCACGGCGTCATGACTTTTCGAAGGCGGCGGGAGAGCCTCCCACTCAAGACTGAGTAGTCTGCTCCGGTGTCCACGAGTGCCGATGCGTCGAGGCCGTCGATCACAACGTTCAGGTTGTTAGACACCGATGCAGGAGCGTCGTTGTGATGCTTGGGGTCGGGAGAGTGGGAGCGCTCCGTCGTTCTTGGAGGCTCTTTACGTCGGTTGTCTTCGGCAACTCCACCTCCAGGGGTTGCCGCGCCTAGTTTCCCCGGTGAGGAGCGAGGGGTGACAGGCTTTCACGTCGGGGTCGGTGCATCGGCGAAGCTGGACGTCGGGGCGATGGCGACCGGAACTCTCGGCGGGACGCAGGCTCGGGGGACTGGGGTCGTCGCAGGTACTCGTCGATCTCCCGAGGGCGTTCACCATACCGGGGGCGCGGGTCGTTTGGGTGGAATCCGCGCAGCCCGAGTCGTCGGTATGGGCATCGGCGGTACACATGGTCGGCTTCCCCGCAGTGGTAGCAGAGCGGGCGTCGGTCGGCCGTTCGCCACACATCGGTCTTCCGGGGTACACGGGGCTCCTGGCTGGCGTACTGGGGCTGGTCGTCGCGGCGTCGGTCGTGCTGCGGCGCAGGAGACTGGCGTCGGGGCGGCGCGACATAGGCGCGAGGAGGAGGCGGTGGTCGTCGGGCCACTTCGGCGTAGGTCACGGTGGGCTCCTCGGGTGCAGCTACGTTGGCAGGAGCCTCCAGTTGAATTGCCCGCTGAACCTCGTCGCGGACAACTTCGGCTATTGACACCGAAGCCGGCTGGTGGGTAGCAGGCAGGAGCTTCTTAATTTCCTCCCGGACGACGTCCCGGATGATCTGGCGAATGCTGGAGATGCTGGAGCCAAGGTCGCAAGCGGACGGCGGAACCGCGCTGACGCCGGGTAGCCTCTGGTAGTGGCTGGCTCGGGATTGCAGTGCACGCTCAATGTTCGTCGCCTCGGTTACAAATTCTTGAATCGTCGTCGGTGGGTTGCGTACGAGGCCACCGAAAATGTCGTCCTTCACGCCGCGCATCAGGATACGCAGCTTCTTTTCCTCGGTGGACTGAGGGTCGGCGCGGCTGCTCAGGCGGAGGACGTCTTCAACGAAGCTGGTTACCGTTTCGTTGGGCCCTTGAGTTCGTACTTGAAGGAGGTCTTCCGCTCGCTGTCGTCGTGTCTGGTTCGTGAATGTCTCCTTCAGGCCAGCGATACAGGTGTCCCACGACGTAAGCGACGCCTCGTGGTTCTCGAACCACTGCCTCGCGGTACCCTCCAAGGAGAAGTAGAGGTTTTGGAGGCGCTGCTCAGTGGTCCATCCATTATGGCGTGCTACACGTTCGTAGTGCAGGAGCCAGTCCTCTACGTCTTCGTGGGTCTCGCCATGGAAGGTCGTCGGGGTTCGCTGGGCAACAGGCAGGTAGACGACGGCGGCGGCGGTCGGGGACTGCGATTGCTGGTCGTCCATCGTCGGCCTCGTAGGCTGCCTGGTCCTGGGTGGCAGAAGTCCGTATTCCGGGTGTAGACCTTGGGTTCGGCGACTGATCCGAGTTTCAGGTTCCGCGTTGAGTGGTCTTGTCACAGGGCTTGGAATCGGGCTTGCACTGCGGGCCCCGGGAGGGGAACGCTGTACGGGCATGCGGTACCCCGCACCTCCACCAAAATGTCACGGTTGGTGACCAAAAGAAAACAGGAAATAAACAGGGAGAAATAAACGTTTAATGTGGCGAACTTGTGCCGAAAATAAAGAAGGAAACAGAAGAAAGCAGAGCGTCGCGGGCGTCGAAGTCGGCGTGTCAGCAGAATCGAGCGCTAGGGCGAGACTGACTCGACAAGGTCGCGGGCGGCCTCTTATCTAGAGTGCGCCGCTATCTCGAAGATTCGGCGAAAGCGGTTCGAGCGTCGCGTGATCGGGGCGAGAATGAACACGCACTTTCTAGAAAACAAAAGCAGGGATAAATGATAGAAGTTACGTGCGGTACATGAATAAACGGGAACTTTCTGGAGGACCGTGACCGAGCGTTGCTTTCTCAGCCTTGCGCGCGGCAATATTCGTGTAACCACCCTGTGTACCGCGATATTTGTCCCCAAATTTTGCATTTTGATCCGGCTAATGTAGCGAAGTTTCCCTATAGTGCCCACTTTCGCGGGTTTGCCGAATGCAGTGGAAAAAAAGTCGGATTAAAAGTGGGACTAAGTAGAAAATTTGGGGGCCGATATCTCGGAACGCGATCTGGTTACGCGAATTCTACAAAATGAAACAGTTTTGGCGTACGACCGCCTCAAAGTTCGTAATATAAGCATACATCATAATTACAGTAATTAAAAAGTTATTTAACGTATTTTAGTTAATGAGTTTGATCATTGTGATGGTTATATTCCAGTCTAATGTCCGCCGAGCCTTATAAACACGGAGGGAAAACAGCATTCATATAACTTTCCACCCTTTATTTAAACATTTTGTGCAGCTAAAAGAAAAAAAAGAAAACACCCGGTAGGTTTGTCTGATTTATCGAAGTTTACATTTTCAGATGGTTTTAGAAACGCGTTAGCGGTATTGAACTTGAAAAGGAATAGAAAATTATATTTAAAAAAAAAACTCAGATTGAAGATATGTCACAATATCTGAATACTTTTTGACTGTTTCCTCACTGCCGCAGGCTGCTTTTTTACTGCCGAGTAACGCAATTAATATGTCACTTTAAAAACACTTTTTTTTTACGAGACAACAAGAATTAAACGATTGAATAACTAGCTGCTTTTTTGTTAAACGTACTAATTCGACTTCAAGCTAGCAAATTAGTGGCAGTTTTTACTTTGATCAGGAATTTTCTTTTACTGTGCATGGTGCTTGGCATAGCCTCCTTTTAGGCAGCAAATCAGAAAAATTTGCAATACAAAAAAGAATGAAGGGACACACCGCAAATGACATCTCAAAAAAAGAAAAAACCGTACAATTCAATATATAGGTATGGGGGGGGGGGGGGGGGGGACATCGAATATATTTAGCTACGCTGAGCAAAGCAATTTCGAACATTTCCTTGAAATAGAAAACTTTATTTAATTTAAACTTGGGTTTGGGCTAGTTGGTCCATTACTGACTAAAAGGTTAAAAAGAAATAAATTAAAAAGGAAAGGCCATACTCTTAAAAAGGCAGCTGGTAGATACGATACGTATTAACGTGGTCTTTTCGGCAGCGTGTAAACTTGCTAGGATCTGTCCGATCTTGACAAGGCACAAAAAATTAGAGTCCATTCACTTCACGTGAAGATGGAGGACCAGCGAAGCTGTTATCTGAATCAGAACTTTACGACAACTATACGATATCTATACGATTTACATATGATTGCGATGAAGATACGTACACGACTTTGTTACTTAAATGCCTTTATGTAATTATTAGTGACTAAAGTTTTCAGTGCCTTATGGTCACTTATGGGGAAGTTCTAAACCCAATTTTTCGAGGCACACCTCGAGGACAGTTTTTCCGATTGAGCCCAGGTTTCTCTATCTGCACCGCGGAAGCGAAAGAAAAGAAGGTTAGATCGGCGCGTTCTTCTCTCAACCTCGTCACAGTGGACTCTTAGCTGAGATAAGTCGGTGACCGTAGATGATAACAAGGGATGAGGAACTCACTATCTAATAACGCCAAGGAAGGCTGACTCACGCGGGTTGCCCCCTCTTTTTATTTAGACTTGCCACTACTAATCGGAACGAAGGAGTGCCGTTTAAAACGTTTTTTTTTTTAATGCGAAAGCATTAACTGTCTCATGGAGCGAGCTGACGTCGTCAGCCTGAAGCGTGAAAACGGTAGATAGTTTCCTTTGGTTCCATTGGCTGGCGCGCGTTGACGGGGCTCCCATTGGCCGCTTTGCTCGTCAGTTTCCACGACTGCTCACCCCATGGCGCTCTGTGTCCATCAGCGCGGAGCGTCCAAGGTCACCAGGGGAGCACACGCGTTGACAGGCGACGAAAGATACGCAGCAGACGAAAAAAGAAGCGGACGATCGAGCGGCTTGCATGCTTTCGCATTCACAACTTATAAGGAATGCTTAGGTTACCTCGATCTTTTTTTGTTAACATCTATGGACGCATCTTTTTAAAGATCCTAGCACATAACAGTTTCGCTGTAAAAAGCACCGTGTTCCAAGAAACACGTGGTGCAATACACTACGTGTGTCACTAACGTGGTGTACGAGATTCCCTTTAGTTGTGGCAGAGTCTATACATTAGGCAGACTGGGCGCTGATTCAGTGATAGAGCACGATAGCATAATCTGTATGTACGCAACGACGTGGGGGGGCCATCTTGCTGACCTTTGTAGGCGATGTGGGCGTAAATTTGACCTGATTTGCACGAAGTTTTTAAGAAAGGCAAAAGACCAAAACGGAAAGAGAGATTATAGAACCATTCTGCATAAAAAAGAGCAATTCCGTCAGCGCTCTGTCTGTGTGTCTGCTTCAGAGTGAAATGGTGTTTCTGGATGGTTCGCTTTGATTCTGGCGGTTGGGTGCGATGTTGTTTGAGCAATGTGTGTATATATAGGTGACGATGGTGATAATAAAAACCAGTTTAGAGTGAAGGGCCTGTCCTGTCGTTCGCGGTTCTTCACTGTCCCCGTTCGTTCGCGCCTTTTAACCTTTTATTCAGTAGAAAACTTGACTTTTTTCCCGAGAAAGACCTCGTTAATTTGATAAAAACAACGTCTCCGAAGATAAGCTACGGAAGCCCATAAGTTTAGAGCGATAGGACTCCCCTCGGTTTCCTTAATACCGTACTATAGACATTTCCAGCGCATATCACCCAGGCGAAAACTGCTGAGTAACTGGGCTGTGGACGTATGTTTCAGGCGTACACGCGCAGCTTCAAGACAGTCGGCCTTTCGTTGCCGGCGGTATCAAGTACGTCTCGTAAACACGTATCTTCAGGTTTTATACTTTTCAGCTTTTTTAAAAAATTGTTCCGATACCCAAAACACAGACACGTTGTGACTTACGTTGGCTCAGTATTTTGACTTTTAATATGCTACATATAATATGTTGCTCTATGATGAGTCACTTTAGAAGTTCGTACTTAAAATACGACAACAAAAAACATGTTTACTAACTTTCAAATTGACACATTCAATAAATGAGCGTGTCACCAGTTACTAGAAAGGGTCAGAAAAGCCGTATTATTATCTGAATGTTCACTTTTGGTAAATATTGGGAAGTTTTTAAGTGTGACCTGCTTAAGATATTTTAATACCCTTGAAGTCACCGAAAAGATCAAACATAGCTTTTTTATTGAATACGCATTCGATATATTTCAAATTCAATATGTTACGTATGGAGTGCGGCCGTAAGGACCAGCCCATTTGGCATACCTTGCAAAATTCGAATTCCAAACGTATATGGCCGAAACTGGGCACGCGAACGTCGTTTCGTACACCACGATTATTTGAACCCGAGACTGGGGCCGAAGGAGGAAATTTGTTTCCAGTTGAAGATAAAGTAACAGGGACAGACGGCGTCTCCAACTTAGCTAATACTTTTATTCAACCAGCCTCTTTATAATGAGAACTACAACCGCCACAAAATCACCGAACGTCCTGTTTTTTAAGGTCGCGCCCACAACCCTTATCCAGATCACAAAACAAACTAAGTGATGTCACTCACAAAGCACAACCACCTTCCGGTTTAGGCAAAAAACTTTTTTCCAGGCAGCTAAATGCCACAAAATATACAGTGCTTTTAAAGTACGATATACGCATACTTCATACACGCTCAAGAAAAAAGGGTGTCCTCTGTTTTTACCAAAGCCTCGGGTTTTCTACATCATGATCAATATCCACCAGCTCTCCTGCGCACTCACTGTTTTTTCATTCTAAAAGGGTGTATCTTTACACCCTTTGTCCCGTATAATACACACCAAAACTTCAATTGCAGTCGAACAGACGGCCCCAAATTTTACGAGGGGCTTGATAGCCGTGTGGTACAACTTATTAAAACAGATAATGTACGTTTTACTGAGCATAAAAAAAATAATTGGGGTTTTCTTGGCCCTACTGTAAAACTCGGTGTTTTCTTTATGTGGTCTTTGATACGTACTTTAGCTATTTAAAAAAAGTTATATCGCACCGTTATCAGGCCCCTCGTAAACTTTGGGGCCGTCTGTTCGACTATAGGGCTCAGTGCGTCGAAATGAAATTTTGGGGTGGGACAAAGGGTGTAACGATACACGCTTTTCTCTTGAGAGTGTACACACGAAGGGCATTTCATAAAGTCTAATGAAATATATTTCTAGCGTGTAACAAAAAAGTCCTGGTGCTTTATTTTGACAGGTGAGAAAATAGCGAGCGGTAAAACTTGTAATCCCCAATAGGTGCGAGAAACGTGAGTTTTCACACCGGTTACTTCAACAACATAGGTAAAAAAAACAAAACAAAACAAAAAACACATCAACGATGCCGTTTGCGCTTTCTTTCATTAAAAAAAATTCTTAAAACAATTTTTCTCGTGAAAAGTAATTGTTAGACATTAAAACCGCGCCTGAATTAAGATAAAAAATGCACTGATAATGATTTTACTTTTTTCAGAAAAATACAAAAAGTAATCTCTGTATTTCTGACCTAACTGTGCCGAAATTGTGCCAGATACATAGAGAATATCTGCTATAAAATAACTTAACATTTCAGTGCAATTTTGTTGTGATCAGAGTGATTCTCAAGAATGGTACAAGTTACTGATAATTGCGATTTCACTTACAGCCACGCAGGAGGTCTGCAAGGGTGACTCTTTCACCTGCCTGAACTCCCGGTGCATCTGGAATGGCTTCAGCTGCGACGGGAAGAATAACTGCGGTGATGACAGTGACGAGAAATACTTCGTCAATTCCATGTGCAGTTGAGTACCCTTTCTCGTGGTCTCGCGAACCGTGGCTCAGTAGAAAACTAAAATAGGCTATTACGAAATATTGCGAATTACAATTAGGAATTACCAATAAATGGAAACTGCAATAAGCGACAAACTGAGACAGGCTACCAGGGCGAGTAAAATAAAAACCTTAAAATAGCAATACCAATTTGAAATTTTGTACAATTGCTTTAAGTTGCCAGCCCTCTTACCAATTTTTAAGAAAGTGGCCAAAGCACAGTGCATATAACTAGCATGACGTAACAGTAGCAGTCTAAAAATGGCACCCCTTGAGTCATGCACCAAAGACGAGCAATTTCCTGTCATCCATATTTAGGTAGTGAAGGAGTGAAACGTATTCGAATTCATTGTCGAATGTTGTTGTATTATGGCAGCATGGTGATGCTTGTCAGTCACTCCAGCAAGTCTAAGAATAGACTAGCGTGTTCCAAAACAATGTGCACTATGTGACAAACGTTCATCGACCGGGTGAGGTACACCGAGCGGTGATAACAGGGTCAATCGCTGCAGTTGAAGAAATCGCACTGGTTTATATCCGAGTGATGGAGGATAAAAAGTGGCTGCACGTTTGGCCATTCTGCCAAACGCGTTTAAATGCGGTGGCTTTATAGAATGGATGGTGCTCTTAGCTCAGGTGGTGCCTAGGACAGGATGACCCTTAAGGCGCGTTCACACTCTTGCAACCGAGTACGACCGAGAAAGACTTCTTGGGACCGGATGCACTGAGCGGAGCTGGTCCTAAGAGATCGGAAGAGGCTTAAAAACCGGTTTGGTCTCTCTCGGTCGCACTCGGTTGCAAGAGTGTGAACGGGCCTTTAGTCGTTCAGTGCTTAGGGTGGGTGGTGCTTAGTTCAAGTGGTGTCTAGGACAGGGTTATGTACGGAAACAGATTGCGTCACACCATTGTCTCTTTGTGACGCTGCGCGCGCTTCCCTTCAGCACCCCCGGGATACAAATCGTTTGCGCAGAATGTTTTGGGTCACCAAGAAGGGGAAGCGCGTTTTTCTGTCCTATTCTACTCCTCCTCGTTCCGAGCCCTCTTTCTACAAAACCTGTTCCTCCTCTCTTCCTTACCCTTTCCACCCCTCTCCGCTTCGCGCGCTTTCTCACACCACCTGCGTCTGCTCATTCCGTTCCTGAGTGCTGGGTCCGTAGCTCAGTCAGAAGCGCACTCGGCTTCCACGCCGGTGACCTGAGTTCGGTCCCTGGCATGCAGCGGTTGCAGTCTTTCTTTTCAAGATGATTTAGCGGTTACGGGCTCTGCGACCTACAAATGTCGTGCTACGCGGCTCCTGAGGTTGGTTGGCCCTATAAAATTTCCTCTTTAATAGTCACACTCATGAACGTCTGTAATATTTCTTTCCCCGGATGCTTACGACAATTTTGGAGAAGAAGGTAGTGAACGTGGAAAGCATTTCAAGTCCTTTGCAACCAAATATTTTTCCCAGAGGAATTCACGGACTTATTAGGCACTGGAAGACCTGCATTAAGTGAAATGAGACTATGTTGAAAAATAATACATATATGTCCATCACTTTTTAAAATTAATTTTGAGCGGAAATATTATAAGCCTTTCATTTGACGCACCCTTGTATTACCACGAATGCAAATGATAAAACGTTATTACGAAGAAATGCGAAGTGTAACAGCTATTTACCAAGGAATGCAAACTGCAATATGCAATTACCCAGAGATGAAAACTGTAATAATACGCTTTTACGAAAGAATGCAAACTGAAATAAGCAATTATCAAGAAATGCAAATTGCAATGAGTAATTAAAAAAGGCTCATACCAGCTATTACCAATAAATGGAAACTGAAATGAGCAATTACTAAAGAATGCGAATTGCAATAAACAATTACAAAGAAATGCAAATTGCAATAGGCAATGCCATAGAAATGGAAACTGAAGTAAGCTCTTTCAAAAGAATGCGACCTACCATAAACAGTTACAAAAGATCACAAACTGCAATTAGCAGTAACTACCAAGTGGAAATGACAATAAGCAGTTATCAAGGAATGGAAACTGCAGTAAGTTATTACAAAAAAAAATCAGAACTGCCGCAGCTACTTTATTACCAGGAATCAGAACTTTAATAGGCAAAAACCAAGGATTGCGAACTGAAATAAGATATTACGAAGAAATGTGAATGGCAATGAGCAATAGACCATGTGCAAAAACGTTCAAACGTATGGCAACACTCTTGGCACTCCCATCTTTGTTGCATCGAGATTCCTCTGCTGTTTGTCGATTTCGTAGCGTTGTCGGTAAATCGATCCTCACCCACACCCGCGAGCTAAGGGTTAGTACCGTTTTACGCTTTTCCTTGCGCATGTACGTGCTCGTCGCACCGCCGGTCGCTGGTTTTTCGCCGCAACCACCATGGCGGACGTACACTTCAGCTCGGAATTTGGCTTTGAGTACCGGCAAAGGCGCGGTCGCGGGCGCCTGGTTTCCGAAAGCGCTTTTTCTGCGCAAGTGCATGTTGAAGCGAAGGATTCTCCAGAGCTACGCTTTCGCACCTTGGCCTTTGCAAACGCCGAAACCAACTGGTGAGACGGAGCATGTTCTTCGACGTCTCATTAGATGGCCATGTGCATTTCGCACGTGGTTTATTGCCAAGAAATGCAAACTGAAAATGATATTACTAGGGAATGCAAACTGAAGATATTAAAGAGGAATTCTAACTGCAGTAAGCTATTACAAAGGAATACCATAAAATATTTAGAATATTTGGTGCCCGGTTTCGGCACCAAATTGTTGATATGAAGACCCAGGAACAGCGGCAGCTTCACAAAACTGAAGAGCTTTAGTTCCGACGTGCGTTCAATGCGATAAAAAAAAAGGTAATAAAAAAAAGTTAACGAGCTCCACGCTTGCCGTCCACGAGCGCAGGCCCCGATCTCGTGTGCAGGCTTGCCATTGTGCTGATCAACACTTCTTCGCTGGTACTCGACCAGTTTGATCTATTTTCAACACTACTGTATGTTGTTACTAAGGGATACAAAATGCAGTAAGTTATTACCAAAAGATACAAACTGAAACAAGGTATTATCAAGAAATGCGAGCTGCAAGAAGCAATAGACTACTTCCATAAAGCCCTGCATGCAACACGGCGCGCGTTGCATTCTGGGAACTAGTTGGCCAGGGAGGAGAGTGGAATGGTTTCGGTTTCGATCGACACGTCGTCAAGAGATTACGCACAGAGCGTGGACTATTAACGGCCGTTATCTCATGTTTTCTGGCCCCGAGAGCGTCATTTGTAGTCTCTAAACTAACCTAAATGGCCACACCTCGAAGCTTTAGCACAAGCCCGAGACGTATAGCTTGTCTTAACACATACTTCTTGTATTTTTGTACTTGAGCCTTTCTGTTAGCGTTTCGAGGTATGTGGACGAGTCAGTGCTGGGAATGTCGACGCTGCGAAGCTCGGGGATCTTGCTTATGTACGAATCAACAAGCTGTAGCAACCAATAAGTATCCATACATCGAGCTCGCGCCTTTACATTAGTGCTGTTGATCAGGAAGTTTGTTTGTTTCGTGCGTCCATAGACTAAATATTACTTTTTGCAATTACTGTTTTCTTAATACGCCTGAGTACGCGAGGTAAAACTCGGAGGCGCCATTGAAAAGTTCAATTATAACACACTTCTTATCTCTTATCTGTACTGGCCCGCAGCACTGCACGAAGCGAAGTCCCCACCCGCTTGCATTTTACTAATATTCAACATCGCGTATGCGCATAACGTTATCCTGCAATCGTATAGGCAGATTCGCACGTACAAACCGTTTTAAGAAAGCAAAAGTCGAGCACTTGTGTGAAAAATGTCGCACCGTTCGCCAGAAGTACGCCGGACGGGCATGAACCCCTATGCGGTTTACCAAACGAACGAAATTATTCAAAGTGCATTTGACGGTTGATAATGACCATAATATTTGTTTTGTGTTTGCTTTCTTCCTGCCTGAGTATGCCGAAATAATTTCAGACACACCGTTCAGGCACAGATCTTGAACGTCAGTAAAAGCTCGTCCGAAAAGGCTTAGCGAGGAATAGGGAACGCTTGTTAGGGCCTCCGTCATAGCTAGCTGATCTCAGCGTTTGCGAAAACTTAATCTTCTATCAGCATAAAATTTGAGTGGGAGATATATGATGACACGAGGAAGACATCATAGTAACTTTGGTGCGGTAGTGAGGTCGAATTTATTGCGTTTTCTTAAACTTTCATGCGTCAACGCTGGGCTCAGATTTGATACTCCTGTGAGGATGCGGCTTGCTTTTCGCCCAATGAAGTAACAAGAAGCGGACGTTTAGCAAACAAAATACGTGCAAGGCTCCAGGTGACCAAATTTCAGTTGTAGTTCACTTATACTAGACGGGATTATTGAAATTAAACTCAAAGGTGAGGTGACTAAGCCCCGTCTTAATTACTACGTTTGCATACGCACTCACAATATCCGGTGTTTCGGGAACCAAGGAAAGTGTCCCGGTTCTCGTTTTGTATCGCTCGAGAATGAGTGTTTTGTACGTTTGTGAAAAGTCAGATAATCGAAAACGCAAGCAGCGCGTTCAGTCGCGGCCCGATAGCATGGGATGGAGCTGCTCAGTCGAAACCGAAACTAAATGGCCAACTAGTCCCCAGAGTGCACTGCATGGTATTTCGCCGCGATGGGGCGCGTCGGTTTTGGAAGAAGTCCATTACCAAAGAATGAGAACTGCAAAAAGCAATTACTAAGGAATGCAAGCTGAAATAAGCAGTGACGGATAAATAAAAACTGAAATAAGCTATTATCATAAATAAAAACTGAAGAAAGCTATTATCATAAATGAAAACTGATGGCCTATTAGCAAAAAATGCAAACTGGAGTATGCAATTATTGAGAAATTAAAAATGCAATAAACAAATTAGAACAAATGCAAACTGCTATAACAATTACCGAATAATGCAAATGCAATGGACAATTAACTAGAAATGCAAACTGAAATAAACTTTTACCAAGGAATGCGAGCTATTGTAGGCCATTGTAAAGAAAGGTGCACTGCAGTAAGTAATTACCATGGAGTGCAAATGGCAGTGATAAATCATCAAGGAATACAAACTACATTAGGCTGTTACCATTGAATCAGAACTGCAATAAGCAATTACAAAGGAATGCGAACTCAAGTAATGAAATGCCGAGAAATTCAGACTGAAATAAGCAATTACCAAGAAATGCGACGGCAGTAAGCAATTAGCGAGGAATGCAAAGGGTTGCAAACTTTAATAGGCAAATATCAAAGCTTTCGAACTGCAATAAGCAATTACCATGGAATACATTCTGAAATGAGCAATTGCCAAGGAATGCAAACTGCGATAAGATATTAACAAACAATGGGAACTGCAGTAAGCAATTACCAAGAAATCCAAACTACAAAAAACTACTATCAGGGAATGTGAACTGCAATGCGTTATCACCAAGGAATGCAAACTTCAAAAAGCTAGAAGGAATACAAAACGTAAGCAAGCTATAAATTATAACCAAGGAATGCGAACAACAATCAAAAATTATCAACAAATGCAAATTAAACTAAGCAACTACAAAAAATGCAAACTATAAGTAGCAATTACCAGGAAAAGCAAACTGAAATAAGCTATCACTAAAGAATGCAAGCTGCAAAAAGCTGTATTACCAAGAAATTCAAACTGCAGTACGTAATTGCCAAGAAATGCAAACAGCAATAGACAGTAGCCGATGAACACAAACTGCAGTAAGCTATGCATATTACCAAGGAATGCAGGCTGTCATAAGCTATTACAAAGGAATGTAAAATTTAACAATAACAAAGGAATGAAAACTGCAATATGCAATTATCAAGAAATGCCGGGCTGAAATAAGCTATTAGGGAGGAATGTAAACTGCAATAAGGTATTTTCAAATAATAAAATTTGTGATAAGCTTTCACCAATAGATGCAAACTGAATACCTTACTCGTTATTTCGTCAAAACACAACAAATATGTTACTCGTTTTTTCACTCACAAATACCTAAGTCAATAATTAATTACCGAAAAATGTAACTAGATGCAATTAATGCGTTTTTTTGTTATACGTTACGTATAAGTCTGGCCGGCAGCGCGTCGCCGGCTGCAGACTTATAGGCGCGCACATATAGACCATTCCATTTAGCGCTCTCTGGGCGGCACCATTTTTTTCGACCGCAGCGCCCTCTCCACACATCCGGGAAGTTCAGCGGGTTCGGCGGGGTAAAACGAGAGAGAGGGCACGCGCCCGACTCCGCTAGCAGACGACAAACCGGGAGGTTGATGTTCTCCATCTTTGGGCTGTATCGGCGGCCTCTACCGAACATCGAACTCTCGCTCGTGGCTGCCGTTGTGAAGTGGTTCGCGTTCTTAGAATAGTTGTGGCTACTCCAAAATCAGCCTATAGCTCTCTGTTGTTCTATTTTGCTAAATGATCAACTAGCATATATTTTTTCCGTTACTTATATAGTAGTTGAGTCAGCCGGCAGTACTACCCTCAACTACTGCTTGTATTGTGTCAGGAGAGCACGTTTTATTTATTATTTCAGACTTCCACTCATGGTCGCTAAAGGCCTACACCAGTACGAACTTTTGTATAGTAAAAAAGGTACAGCAACCGGATTTACTTTTCGCCAAAGAGACCGGCCAAGCTCACACAGTTTTCCGTATTTCTTTTTTTTATTTGCACGGAGGGAACAGCGCAATTGGACCCTGTGAGTCGTTTGATCTAGCATAATATTACACGACAACTGGCATACCAAAATCTGCGCATCTGCGCTTGAAAGTTCCAAAATGACGCGATTTTAAACAGAGTTTGCACGCCAGCCGGACGTTAGCTACAGCCCACTCGGCGGAGCGGACGAGATGTGGGGTGAGAGGGGGAGTGCATTTTTTTCTCTTTTACCCTCTCTGCTATGACCCTAATGGAACGGTCTATAAGCGGCGCCGTGCAGGGGCGGATCCAACGGGGAAGGGGGTGCGACGAAGGCCGGCGCCCCCCCCCCCCCCTTCAAACAAAGTCTCCTCCCCCCTCCCCCCTTCTCGGAGGGCTATTTGACATGGGTGGACCCCCCGGTACACAAAAGAATGGGAGAACAGTATCCCTACAAATTTCCCCTCACCTTCCCCCAAAAAACGGAGTTCTGGATCGCGCCGTGTTACCAACAGACTCGGAAACAAGGGGCGGGCGCGTTCAGATATGAGAAGCGCCACGAGCCAAAACTGAAGTTGTATCTCCAGCATTCAATTGGAGCGTTCGCGGCACGATCCTACGCTAGCCGTATCTGGGTGCCTTTTGAATAATATACAGCGCGTTATAGGGAAACACTTTCGTTCTGATTAGGGAGCCTTCATGTGCGCTTTGCTAGGGTGATGCCACCCTTTGTAATACCACTCGCCGACAAACCAGCAGCCATTTTGCTCCTCGGCGATAATCCGTGGGCTCATAACCCTCCCGGAAACAAGCACCTTATCTCACAAGTTCGGAGCAGCGTTGTGGAACCCACGGAGGGAGGATTAGCATTTCCCCCCTCGGATGGGAGGACCGATGGACACAAAGAGCACTTTTCGGCGCACGGGGAAACAATGAGGAATAAAATGGCGGTGGACGAGGGTGTGGGAAAGGGAAACAGGCAGTTGGCATCGCCCTATGCGAAGCGCACATGAAGGTTGCACGCGAAAGACAAGGGTCATCCAGTTCTTCGCCAAGAGCTTCCGCTTCAAGGCCTCTTGAAGCTAACATAAATTAAATTAGCGCAAACAGGTAAACAAGTCTAGGTACAATATTAAAGTTTTCTGAACCCTCCAGAATGATGGTCGTAAGTCAAGCGGTGCTTGGGGAAAGCTCAATCACTGTTTTGTGATGCGGCTCAACGTTCTTCGATGTCCAACGTCATTTGAATACTACACAATTGCGTTCATTGCTGAGCTGACAGGGCGATGTAAGCTAAGGGCTCACCACACCTATCAATCACCTCCGTGTGCTATCGCATATACCCGCTCTATGCGCAGGGAGGCGCAGATAACGTAATCACGTGGTTTAAGAGTGGCCGAAGGTTGATTGGTCGAGTAAATACGCAGCTTCCACTGAGCTGTCAGCTTAGCGGTGAATAGAGTGTTTTCACTGACGTAATTACGTTCACCATTTTGTTGTCATAAGCTGTCTGGCGCGTAGTGAAGGCGGGTATTTCCAATATTCGCACGATACTCTTAGATCGGTCGGGCACGAAAGCTTATAATATTCATCGCGCCTCTTTTTCGCTCTTATGATAAATAAAACATTCTCTCACTTACGTACTCTAACAACAAAATGACGGATTGATGTCATGTGAAAACGCTTTTTAGTAAGGGCCTCAACGCTTGCCATTGAACTGTAAACTCGAATTATACGTGCAATGTTTGTCCTTTTTAAAGTCATGCCGATGGCTGCCTTGGTTCTCATTGTGACTGGAATCTTTGTCATCGTTACCTCGCTTCTGATGATCTGCTACTGTATGATGAGACTGCGAACCACGATACAGAAAGTAAGTTGATCTTCGTTTTCACACGAAGCTCCCAGTTTTTCTCAAATTCATTGGCTGCTTGTCGAGGGCTAGACTTTTACCTTACGACGAACCGCAGTTGACACTACGAGCCGTCGGAGCCCATGCAATACACTGTAGGTGCCACGTGACCTACGGGAGGGGCGCAGTGACTGCTGATGACAATTGCTGGACCGCGCTTCCCCTTTCCGCAAAAGCGGCCACCGGACGGCCACCTTGCATGCGGCCAAACCGCATTTTCGCTTGCATTGCAGAGGTTGGCGGTAGCGTGCTGAAGACACGTTTTCTACTCGTTCGTCGTCATCCGCCGAAGAAACTTTTTAAAAGCCTGTGTAAGCGGTGAGACTTGCCATTGAGAATACGTGGAAATATTTACGAAAGCGCAGTACCGCAGGAAAAATTCACAACTCGTCGAAAGCAAGTTTCGCCGGTTTCGCGGCGTGATCCAAGCTTCCTTGGCACGCCGAAGTGCTGCGTCTCTGTGCCTTTGCACGCTTAGATACCGATCAAGAACCTACGCCGCGCAAATGTTTGAAGGTGTGTCACGCGTAGATGTCTTTGGATCATATATCAGCCATGGAGTTTTGGATCATCCAGCTGTTCCGCGGAGTTGCTATCAATAAAGGGGGAAAATCCGCACGATTGCTCTAGTCCACTATTAACCATGGCTAAGTTCCAAATATACTCTAATAGATCACATTGGTGCACAGAAATAAAGACTTTTGCTCCACTGAATTGATTGCCATAAGCGTCTAGTAAACAAAACAAAAGAACGCGCCAACACCGCCCCCTCCCCCCCCCCCCCCCCTTTCCTCTCTTCCGTTGCCACTGGACATTGGATGAAACTCGTTCCTGGACCGCGAGTGCCGCAAGTTAAAAATACAGTGGTCAGCGTAAAGTACAGCGCTGCTCTAGAGGCACATGCGGCTTCATGCACACTGCATTCGCAAAACACATCCACACGGCGTCGATTCTTGATCGGTATCCAAGCGTGCGAAGGCACAGAGACGCGCAGCACTCGTCGTGTCAAGGAAGCTCTGATTACGCTGCGAGACAGGCGAAACTTGCTTTTGACGAGTTGTGCCTGTTTCTTGCGGCGCTGCGCTCTCGTGAAAATTTCCACGTGTTCTCAAAGGTAAGTCTCACCGTTTTCACAGGGGTTTAACAAAATTCTTCGGCGAATAACAACGAACGAGTAGAAAACGTGTCTTCAGCACGCTCCTGCGAGCCTTTCCGACGCTCGCAAAGATGTCATTTCGCTGCATGCAAGATGGCCGTCCGGTGGCCACACTCGCGCTGCAGCGACCAATCGGGGAGGCGCGATTTAGCAATTGTCATTGAGATCAGTGGCAGCGACGATCGAAGAGCGTATTCACGTGATATGTGCTACGTTCACACCTATAGTTGGATTGGCCGGCACTCTTTCTCCAGCGATCTGTTATGGTATGGTGCCTGGAACGTGTCTCCGACTGATGTGTCTAGCGTCCTATGCTGCCCATAGATCAAAAGTGGTCCCAAAGTGGCAACAAATGACGTCACGGAAGCCGGAGTGTCATGCTGTCGGATGTCGCAGTTTTGGCGGTTGGTTGCAAAAACGCTGCCGAAAAGCACGAGCGAACGCCAGTGTCGCTGTCGTCATGTCGTCCCACCTTCTGGCTGCTGAAGCTTCCCTGAACTGTCACAGTGGAGAGCGACCTGCAGCAGAACAGGCCTCTGCTACGTTCACCACCGCTGCGTGAACACCGCCTGGGTCGCGACCGGCGACAGCATGACACTTTTATCACGTCACCAGGCGGAAATCGAGGGACCACTTATTTTGGACGCGATAGACAAACCAGTCGGGGATGCGTTCCATGCACCAGTTATGGTGTACCAGCAGGTCGCTGAATTTTCCAGGATCCCTTTTGAAAGAAAACCATGCCGTGGCCATTTGAACCAGACCGAATTTCGGCCTGGTCCTCTGACCAGGCCGAAGTTGGATGTTCGCTTGGCAACACTAAGGCTGGAGAGGTTGCATTTTTCGTTACTGTGTCTCAAACGTTACCCTCCACTAGAGTAAAAAGTAGCGTATTTCATACCTGGCTACATCTGCGACCAAAGAAGCAGATGCGTTTGTATTAGTTTCATCGTTGCGTTTTCGTGAATGTCGTTTTACTGTGGCATTAGCACTTACGGATGTTTAGGTGACGATGTATGCAAGCTCCACCGACATGCTTATTGGAATCGCCACTTTAATTGGAAATATATCCTACCAATTGCTGTGAACTGTTGCCGCGAAGATTATCCACCATTCATGCGCAAGGGTTGGTATAACGATGACTATTAAGTCTCCAGCATCAACCAGGCGGCGCCACCACTCCTCATATGCTAGCGCCATCCCTCGCCATTGCTTCGAATTATTGGGGTGGCTCAGGGTGTTCAGGCCGAGGCGGAATGCGAGATGTGTGAACGGCGCCGCGTCTTCATAGAACAAGTGTGTCAAATGTTCGCTCGTATTCCTCACAAACGCCGTGAGGTGGCGCAGTTCGTCGCTTGGGTATTAGGAACTAGGCCTACGAGAACCTCTCTAGAAGTTGTCCTTATTCGCGCACAGGTTTTCAAGGCCGCTCTAGAGTACCTCTCGACGCACGACTGCGCCTGCGCGAGGGTTCCTACCAAAGCCAACAGTACTTCTGCCGAGAGATGCGGGAAGCCCGAGCGAACTTTTGCCACCTTGTTGAGATACCTCCTTTTTTAACAACGGTTCACGAGTTCAGGCAGCTTGTGGGCTTTTAAAGTAAACAATAGTTATTTTATTAAAAAAAAAACTGTAACGCCGACCAAGACTCAAACTTACGGAAAGCTAACAGAACCGCGGCCCAGTTCTTTGGAAGCATCGTGCAAAGTTGCACAACTTTCTTATAATTTGTGCTAGCCGATGGACTTTTCTATTCCTGATCTGCATATGCAGAATGTCTTATTAAGCTTTATATGCTCTTTTTTTAAGCCGTGAAATCTACACTAATGATGTTTCTGCAAATGAGTAATACGGCCAGGGGAATATCATATAGGGAACTAATCGTCAGAATAAGTCGGTATAATTAAGTAAACCTTTTTATTAACTTTTTAATCGGTTAAGATAAACCTATGGTACAGATTAGAAACTCGCTGAGCGTCATCAAGAGCCAGTAAATCAGTAAATTTGAGGAAGTTTTGGAGCACCGTGGGAAGCGTTGCGATGCACTAAAGATGCCACTCGTGCACCAAGCACAAGGCTGGTGGTGCGTGAACGCGCACTTGCGGTTTTTTCCATTCCTCGAGTTTTCGCACTGCTAAACTTGTGCTTGTTGCCCGAGTGGCATTAGTGCACTTCCACACTTTCCATACGCTGTAAAACCTTCTAAAATTTGCTTATTTATGGGGTTTTTAAAGGGGTTGTCCAACGATATTCAGTTGGAATGTTTTTCGCTGTACACGAGCTTACTGGCACTAGTGGGAGTCAAGGATACTCGCACGCAACTCCGCTGGCCAAGAAACTTCTTTGTTGCGGTGTATTTTCAAGGACAAAAGCGATCATTTTCATTTAATCTCTCCTTTGCAAAATTTCATAACGTAACGTGGGTATCGCAGTACGCCCCATATGACGATATTTGAATGCTGTTCATAGATTGGACCCGAGCATTGCGTGGGCACTCGATTTGGGCTCGTGATAATTACTAGCTCGAGAAGCATTCGGGTAGTGGCCCGTGTCCAACCGCTGCAACGACGACGGTAGCCGAGCCATAACAATGTCTGGAACTCAGCGCGCGCCCTGTGCTTTGCCAACCCCAGGGCGTGGCTATGATCTACATTGGCGGCATATAATCGGCTCCAGATCACGTGGCCGCTTGTTCTGGCTGCGAGTTGAGGGGGTGAACGCTGCTCCTTTTTCTTTAATTTTTTTCAGGGACTTCTATTGCGTGGGGTGAAAAATGAACGCGTGTTTCATAGGTCATTAATGTCAGGGATTCGTTCTAAGCGGTACTTGCGCAAAGTAAAAAAATTGTTGCATCGCCCCTTTAATGACGCTCAGCTAGTATCTACTCGGAACCATTTGTTTATTCTCACGAATTAAACAAAATGTTTACCTAATTAACAAACTTATTCTGACGATTGGCCCCCTATATAATGGGCTCTTTTTCGTATAACTCACCTGCACTGACCGGATTAGTGAACCTTCCTTGGCTTTTTAAACAAATCTATAAATACAAAAAGATGTAAATAATGATATCAAATCTACTTGCAGACGAGGGGTTTTAATTGGAGCACTTAAGGTGGGCGAATGCCGATGCTCTCCCGTACCTGAACGCAGTGCCTCAGAAAGTTGTCCCCACGTATATGCCATTCCACTTTTACAAGGCATAACACTTCAACGGCTCCCGCGTATCAATATGGCAAGCGAGGGAAAAGCACATAAAATGGATCGGCTGTAGTTGCCAGAACTTCTTTCCTAGAACCTTGCTTGAGAATATCATTGTTTTTGCACTATTTTTTTTTAATTTTATAATGCGAGTGATTTTTTACAAAAAACAAAAGAAAAAAAAACGATTTCGAGGAGGATTGGAACCAAGAAAACAAAACGCGATCTTCTCACCACTCGTCCACGGGCAAGATACGGAGGAGGGGATTTTGCAATAGCATATGACAAGTTTCATAAAGCAATCTTGAACTGCCGTTTCTAGTTTTTTTTTTTTTTTAATCTTACAATGCGATTGATTTTTTTACAAAATTATAGACAAAAAAAAAAAGCAAATTACAAGAGCGAGAAAAAGAAAACGATTCCGAGGAGGATTGGAACCAAGAAAACAAAATGCGACCTTCTCACCACTCGGCCACGGGCAAGATACGGAGGAGGGGATTTTGCTGTTGCTTATAACAGGTTTCATGAAGTAATCTTCAACTGCCGTGTTTTTCGTGGATTTTAACGTGGCGCTTCTGAAGTGGTTCATACCACTTGAGTTGCAAGCATTCTCTGCACGCAGAATCACTCTAACAAGAGGGAGGACAGCAACCGCCCCAATGGTTTCAAACGTCAACGCGCAGTGCCACCACTCTTCCCATTGAACTTTAGTGCTGGATGCCCCTACGTAGACAGGGTGGTTTTATAATAAGTTTAATAGATTTGTTAAGAAAAAAAAAAAAAGAAGAAAGCCGTGAAAGCGACATAAATTCAGTTTGTGCAGGCGAGTTATACGGCCAGGAGACAGTACAGGTCCCAGTCGTGCTGTCTTTTACTATGAACACCTGCCAACTCACCCAAAAGTCCATTCTAATCGCATAGAGGGCTAATCGTAGCGATCAGTTGGACCATTAACTAAAATACCTTGGTTAACATTTAATTATTGACAATGAACTTACCATTCTTAGAAAGTTGTTGAGCGTCATCAAAAACCACTAAATCATATTAAGAAGCCTCAGACCACGCGGGAAGCACGGTGGAGGGTTAAAGTTCTCACTCGTGCAGCAGAAGCGAGGCTACCGGTGCAATGTCGGGACAACGCGGTTTTTCCGTGTCCTATAGAGTCCTAGCCTTTCGCTGCTGACGAGAGTAGTTTTCGATAGTGCTCATCTCGTTTTAAGTTAGAACCATATGTCTAATTAAAATGGTAATTAACAAGGTTTAGTTAATTATTTGACTAATCGGGACGATTGGCCCCGTGTAATATGCCTCCCTGGCCGTATCACATACCTGCAAAACCGCAGTAGTGTAGATTTCACAGCTTTTTTTTTTTTTTTTTCAAACGAAAATGATAGGCTTAAAAAGAAACACCATGAACAAAAACTGAACGTCAAATGACGGAAAAAAAGAAAGATGGGTAGTGTAACTGGTGCTTTTCATTGGTGACCAAAAGAAAAAACGCCCATAAAAGTTATGGTCGCACGAGGCTGTTTCTGACTTGCCCGCAAAACACTCGTTTTTCTCCGGGTTAAAAACGCCGGACCACGAGCGACCACGCGCAATCTCGCTCAAGGGGCATCTTGGTCGTTTGGATCCCGCAGAATATGGAAGAGGAGAGGGCCAACCGTGCCCGCAAAAAGGACTCGTTGTCCGAGGGTCCGTACTCGGAGTTCGTGGACACGTACGGCTCGCAGCTTCCCAAGCCTCCGCTCATGTCCGGCGCGTACCAGCCGAGCGGCGACCACACGACCGGGCCGTACACTCGAAGGTCCTCCACGTTTCCCCGGAGCAACTCCATCAAGGGGAGGTTGGAAGTGTCCCTGTACAGGCGTCCCTACGAGTGACGCTGGCGAGCCGGTACACAATGGCCCGCACTCTTTTTTTTTTTTTCTCTCTCTCTATTAAGATTGAGAACCGAAATATTTGATTTATACAAACGGGCAATAAATATTAATGCTAAAAAGGGGAGTCTTGTCATTGTCTCTTTTCGAGCTCGGGCTTGCGACGAGTGAAATAGCAAACGAACCATACGCTCATTGCTGTATACACAAACTCAACTCGGTTACGTCACGGCGCGGTGATGGAGCGTCGAGCGCACTTCCGGTCTGGGGCTGTGGGCGGAAGTTACCATGCGCGACGTGCATTCCAGCGTTGTTTTGAAAAAAAAAAACAGACAAAAACCTGCCTTCTTGTCAAAACGCAACGACTTGGGCTGTACCAAAAGAGCCGAAAAAGGTTTCAACGTCAGTGTTCGGTTCGTTTGAGAACGCGGATATGTGCCGTGAAAAGGGGAAACCAGACGCCGTCAGACCACGATTGCCTGGGCGGGAAGCGCTTTAAGTTGAATTCACGGATACTTGTGGTCATCAGAATTATTTATTTTATTCCAACATGAACGCGGAAAACCCGTCAAGTTGTACGGACCACCTGCGGACTACCGTCCAGTGCGTCTTCAAGTTCAAACGACCGCCTAATCGTTCGAACTGTCGTTTGCTCTTTCAAACGTTTCTGTTTGTCGTCTGCTCTTTCAGATGGCACCGGCCCGTAGACCAAACGCTGGCCCAGTAATTGCGATAAGAAGTAAGTGCAGGCCTAAAAAGACTTTTCAGTTTGAAAGTTTGTTGGGGTAAGCAGGCTAGGTGTAAACAGTAGATACATCATGCAAGGAGAAGTTGATCATTATTACCAGTGGCCATCACGGACTTGTTATGCCTGATTCACTTGGTGGGATTTTGCTTGCGATTTTCAGTATCGACTTCGACCATGTCAGCTACGCTTCACGCTTTTGCAGCCTGAGCGCCGTCGCTACTGAAAATTGCTAGTGGAATATCATCATGTGAAACAGGCTTTAGCGTCCATTCTGCGGCGTCCACGCGGAATGACTCGCCGCATGTCAAATATTTACGCGAAATTTTGCGGTGTAACAAGCCTCGTTAATTTCGCTATGGCCGCTCAAGTAGTGAGACATTGCGAAGAAGATGTAGAATCGACGATTCCAACGCGAAAAAGTGTATGGGGACTCACACCGACGCCGTCAACATCGCATGTACTTGGTTGGTTTATGGGCGACGGCGAACTTCTTGCCCATACTCCATCGCGCATGCGCGGCGCCGTCCGCTAGGGGCGCTCCGGGTTGTTTGTAAACATGAGTTGGTTTATAGCCTGCAAATGGAGTGGATGAGTTTGAAACACCAAGAAATGGTTCTTGATAAATTTTACAGAAAGTATTTTACTGCTACATTTAGCGAGAAATACATTTATCCACTCAACTTTGCGGGAAACGTCACCTGATGGCGTGACATGACGCCGTGGCGCAAAGCCGTCACGTGACGCCCCGCGGTGTCGGGAATTATCGTGTGATGTCACATTCCCTGACATCAGTGTCACGCTGTAGTATCACCTGACGTCATGTAGCGTCACATGACGTCATAGCGGTTCAAATCCCGGCCGAGGTGCCCGCAATCTGACGGAGGCTTATTGCGGTGGAGGCGCCGTGTAACCGAGCTTTCGGTTGCACGTCAAAAGATCCCCAGGTGGTCGAAATTAATCCTCAGTCCTCCGCTTGGGCGTGCCAGATGCCCGCCGTTGGTTTGGCACGTAAAACCCCCAAATTTGACATGACGTCATAGCGTCCGGCGGCACCTTAAGTTCACGTGATATTGTGACGTCAGGCGACGTCGCATGACTCCGTGAAGACAGGTGGCACTGAGGTCACGTGCCACTGACGCTATAGACCAGTCTTGGGTAAGTTACTTTTAAAAAGTGATTCGTTACAGTTACTTTCAGTAAAAAAGTAGCGAAGTTACCGTTACAGTTACCGCAACAAGAGTAACTCGTTAAAGTTACAGTTACTTTTAAAAAGTAACGACGTTACTTTTCAGTTACTTTTTTATAAAAAAATAGAAAGAACTAGAAAACGCCCTTCACCAAGTTTTATAGCATAAAACGAAAAAGTACACTTTTTACTTCATATTGTAACTTAGCAGAAATTGCTTCTCGAAATTAGTGTTTGAAAATTTCCACGCCAGAGTAAAAGCGCAAATCAAAATACGAAACATGCGCAGTGCGGAGTACTGGCGCTAATCAAAATACGAAACATGCGCAGTGCCCTCCGCGTGTATTGTTGTTTCACGGTTGATTCACCCGATTAAAAAGTGTTTCCACAGAAAAAAGAAAAAACCACAACGGAGATAGTGCTTCAAGACACTAGCGAGTTTTAGAATAGGGTGCCCCACATCTTTGGTGCCCCAAACACCTTGGGATGTCCCAGTGCGCACGCGCAGAACTTCTGCGCATGCCCATCGCAATGCCCCAAGCTGTTTGGGCGACCCAAAGCTGTGGGGCCCCCTATTCTAAAACTCGCTACTAAGATGTAAAGGCTCGTTCACACAGACCCGTTTTCTTACGTTACGTTGCGAAAAGTCACCGGGAAATATGTGCTTCGTATTAAGCGTGGCACCCAATTCAAGGAGATAGCCTGGCACGCGACATTCTAAACACGAATGTTTCGGTGACGACGAGCTAGGACGGTGAGTTACTGTGGCAACGAAGAACACAAGGCTCGTCGTGACGTAACGTAAGGAGTTGAGCTCGGTTCAACTTTTAACACTGCACCGTTTTCTTACGTTACATCTACGTCACTGAAACATTCGTGTTTCGAATGTCGCGTTCCAGGCTATCTTCTTGAACTGGTTGCCACACTTATTTCGAAGCACACATTTCCCGGTGATTTTTCGTAACATAACGTAAGAGAACGGGTCTGTGTGAACGAGCGTGTTCAGTTAAAAGTACAAGCGCGTGCGTAATGATAACTAGGTTTTTTTTTTTTTTTTTCCATAAAATCTACACGTGGCTATATTCGGGTCGTGACTCGTGAGAAAGAACGTATTCACAAGTTTGTGCAAGGCCAACTTGACCCTCGAAATGTCGGAACAGACGATTTGAAAAGTGCAAGGAAAATCTAAATTACATTCGTTCTGTGATATAATATTTATAAAACACTGGAAAGTAACGAAAAAAGTGACGTCGTTACTTTCATCGTTACCTCAGAAAAAAGTAATAGAACTACAGTTACAAGTTACATTTTAAAAAAAGTAATTCATTACAGTTACGAGTTACCAAAAAAGTAACGAAATTACAGTAACGCGTTAAAAACCGCCCTCTAAAGAATAATGCCGACTGGTGCGTTTACAGCGTCCTGAAAGGTGATTCCTCGATTTCCGCCTGATGACGTCCTAGAACTGTCACGTCGGTACTTGCCGCGATCCTGGCGGGGTCATAGCAGCGACGGTAGCAGACGCCTGTTTTGCGGCGGGTTGTTCTTCAGCTTCACAGTCCGCGGAAGCTTCGGCAGGCAGGAGTTGGGAGCCTGCGGCGTCGGCGACACTCGCATTCTCCCGTGCTTTCTTTCCGGAACTTCTACGCCGGAGCTTGGGGTGGTTTGGATGGGTTGCACACACGAAGACATGCATTAAACAGCGCACAAGCACAGGAGGAAAAATATAAAAGAGAGGAAAGAGCGCTGACTCCCAATTTATGTATTGTGAAAGAAAGAGAAAGCTTCAGACATGAGGCCCACGGTAAGAAAGAAGAAAGAAGAAAACGGATACACTACTAAGTTGCAGTGGAGACAACAAAGCCATTATAAGGTCACGACTAAAAAGAGGAGAAAAAAGAATAAAGAAAGAAAAACAATAGGAAAAACAGAAAAAAAAACATTTGCATAAAGTACAGGCCGGCCAAGATCACATGTATGCACTGGCTAAGAAGTCTACCTCCTTGTTACTCAAAGATAGGGAAGGTTTGCTCACACACCGCTGGCCTAATTTTTGGATGTGGTAGGCTTCTAAAATTTTTCTAGTTTGCCGATCTGGATAACGTCCTAATATTGTTGTGTCCGAAAAATTTGGTGAGCACTGACAGGGGAGGCAGTGTATCCGTTTTTCTTTCTTCTTTTTACCTGGGGGGTACGCGTGGGCTTCATGTCTGAGCTTCCTCTTTCTCTTTCTTTCACAATACATAAGTTGGGAATCAGCGCGCTTTCCTGTTTTTTTATTTTCTTCCTCCTGTGCTTGTGCGCTGTTTTACGTATGTCTTCTAAGTACCAGCTAGCTCAACTTTCTACGTTATTGCACACACGACACAGTCATAGGTGCTCTCCGGAGACCCAAAGCGGCTCAAGACCTGTCCAAACAGGAATCGTGAGATGACACGACACCGACAACGACATAAGTCGTACAGCAATGAGCTTCCGCACGTTTTTTGTTGTTTTTTTCTCGGGGGAAAGTTATTTCTGTCGAATTCCGCCCGTGCCCTCCCGTGGGGCTTTGAGCATGCTCATGACGTGTGTCCGGACAACAACTCGCAAGCTTTGTTGACTGTCGATAAATTGCTCAAGGCCTTTGCTTCTCTTTAGGTCCCGAAAACGGAAAAGAGAAGGGCTATGCTCGAAATCTTACCCAAATAGATCCGAGCTAGTCCGGCGGGTCATGTCGCGTAAACACAGATATAGAGCGACGCTGCATGCGGGTCGGTTTTCGAACGCAAAGGTACAAACCCCTTACCCTGGAGTAAGATGGAGTAAATTTTGGAGCATGTCCAAGGATACGAGAGCCCGGCAGAACAGATGGACAACAGTGGCAGGTGGTGTGTGACCGAGGTCACCGCAAAGCGGAGGAAGCAAGGAAGAAAATCGTAATTTTGGCTCGGTGGTATTCAAGCTGACATCAAACTGCCGGAGGCTTCAACTTTTACGAGTTTTGCTGGAGTCGTGTTGCCTCACGATTCCTGTTTCGAAAGACCTTCAGAAAGCTGCCCCCGATGTTCAGAGATACCTGCTCCGTCA